CCCCCAGGTCCCTCTCTGACTGGCAGCTCTCCAGCCACTCCTCCCCAAGCCTGTAGCGCTGCTGGGGGTTGTTGTAGCCCAAGGGCAGCCCCCGGCATTTGGCCTTATGGAAACTCCCCCAGTTGGGCTCAGCCCATGGCTCCAGCCTGCCCAAGTCTCTCTGCAGCCTCCCTACCCTCAAGCAGATCAACACTCCCACCCAACTGGGTGTCATCTGCAAACTGACTGAGGGGGCACTCGATCCCCTCGTCTAGATCATCAATAAAGATGTTAAACTCATACCAATGCGGAAATATTCTTCTTGTTGGGGCTTAGTCCATGGTTTGGGCCCAAAGGTTTATACATATCCATAACAGCCAGAAAATGTGGTCACTTTTAGAGCTGTAACACATTTTCCACTGGAATGGTTTTCTTGATGGAAAGCGCCCTTTCTGGCAAAAATAAAACGTTTCCAAGGGAAGCTTGTTGGCCATACCAATTTTCCACTAGGAAAACTGAAGTGACTGCTCCCCACCCGGAAGCCTTGTGAAGTTAAAGGAGCCTCTGGCAGCTGGCATACCAAAAAGACAGCTTTATTTTGGTTTCCCACAGATGGAGGTTTTATGGAAAGGTCTTCCGACAAAGTTTCCATGCTAAACATTTTGTCCTAATTTGGTGAGCGGGGAAGGGGTTGTTTGTTTTTTTAAGCGCGTATTTTTCATGAGAAGAAATGCTTTTTTTTCCAAGCCAGTTCTAGTGATGCCAATCCCTTTTGCTTTCCCCGCAAACATCTAAGCTTTCAATGAACTGGACAGTCAGCTTGCCATAGGTAAGCTCACATTGGAAAGATAAAGGCTTAATGGTCTCTAAGATAGATGTAGTGTCATATATAACTGCACAGCACCTTACGTATGAGTTGTGGTCTACAGTTGTGACTTGATGGTCAGTTCCTACCTGCACCTCCAGAAGATTATAAGAAACAAGATTTAATCTAGGCTCTGTTCTTCAAAAACATTATTATAGTAAAATAACAGTGCTTACAGTTTCTTTCTTTCTATTTTCTCTCAAAGATTATCAAATGCAATTTTAATTTTGCCCTTGATGGGGAAGCCCATGTCCCATTAATGTAGAGAGTTCACTGAAAATGGGTACTCACCACCATTTTAACAGCATGAAATGTCCTTTGATAGCAGACACCTGACTGGGTTACTACAATGCCTTGTCCATGTTTGTGATCATCAAGCCATGTCCCTATGTATCTCTCCCCTCTGGAATGCAATAGAAAACAGATTTTTTTTTTTTCCCTGTTTTATTAAAACTTCGTCAATTTGATACATCACTTACTGAGGCTAGTTTTACCTGATATAATGCTCCATGCAGCACAAACTCAAATCATATAATGCTTCCCCAGGAGTTCAAGTCTTACAGCAGAGGTTGAACACATACCCCCTTCACTCCCAAGTCTCCCCACCAGAACATGAGACTTCATCCCCGCCCATAGAGGGACAAAACTGTCAGGCACCTAAAGCCAGCTCTGATCTATAACAGCTTTACCTATCTTTGTCTTCCCACACTCCATATCCATTCTTCTTATCATTTTCCCACTGTCCTGAGTATTTAAAAGGATTCTTAGCTGAGAAGTTCTCCAGTATCCCAAACCCTTGGCGCACATTGTCTTTGAAGTAGCCTTTGTAGACCATATCATTCCCGTACCTGCAGGGAGAGAGAGAGACAGATAAAATTTAAGACTGTGCCTATTTGATAGCTACTATTGGAGTAGGAAGCCAGGAAATTGAGTAGATTGGGTTCATCTGCCTGATAAATATTCCAAATATTTGACTGATAGCTCTGGAGACAGTAGTTGTTCACTATTAGGAACACGCATCACTTAAACTTGTCACTCCATGGGTAGTTTTCAACATTATCTAAGGACACAACACTTAGGCTTGCAATTGCCCTGGAAGAGACCACTCAGTCCTTGACCTCTCACCAGCTAGGCTGCAGTGACCACTGGTTAATCCAGAGGAGTAGAAGATAAGGTCAAGCAGGAAGCCAGGTCTGCCTTTACCTTTCTATGCTTGCCAACTACCCCTTCTCCTAGGCTCGTTCCCCTGGGAAGAGTTTCCCTTAGTTCTGTCCATCCTGGCCAGCAGATCTTCACTGCTACATCAGAGAAAGCACTTATGCTAAGCAGGGCTATCAGCTATAATTATCAACATGGTCTCACATTTGACACCAGATAAACTAGCTCAGCACTGCTCAGCTGCCTCCAAGTGCCCCAGAAATTTCTGAATATCCTGTACTATGAGTTCAATGCATAAATAAGGAGCACAACAATGAAGGTGGCCTATCCCATATTAAGTAGCTAGAAAGCTGGGCTGTGTGCTTTCCTCTGCCACAGTTAGCTCAGTGAAAGGAGAGGTAAGTATGTGCAGTAAGTATGGGCAGTCCAGTCTTTGCACAGACCAACCTCTTTGGCTACAAGCCATGTGTGACCTAAGCAAAGATGAGGGTGCTGTTGTGCTCAGTGCTGTGTAAACAAAGCAAGCTGGCCTTGTCCAGTTAACCCCACAGGCTGCAAATGAAACCAGTTTGTACCTACAACCTGCTGAGCAGGCTTCTGCTGCCATTTCTGGCTTTCTAAATGGAAGTAGACGGTGGGTAAGGCTGGGGCACCATCATGTGCCTACAACAGAGGGCTTTACACACCAGACTGCATCCAAATTCACAGCACTGCTTTTGAGACACATTTGTGCAAATGACTGTTTCCAGAAGCATTTTGATGAGTAAATAAAAAACTCTTAAGACTCTGATTCTTAAGTTCTCTGAGGTTAAGCTCAGAATTTGAGTGAGAAAAAAAAAAAAAAGCCAACTGGGGGAACCAGCCCCCTTCAGCAGTTCAGGATAACAGTTATGGCTCCTGGAGCAACAATCCCATCCATCATTAAGGAACTACTCTATACAGGATTTAATCCGGATAGCATGGCCAGGGGAGGCAGAGCGAGCTGTGTGCTCCACCAAGGCTGTCCAGGGCTGATGGCACACCATGCGCTTTCTGCTCTGCAACCACAACCATAACCATGAATGCAAAATTATATCCTCACCTATAGGGCACAAAGGATGCTGTGTCAGGTAGTTACAATGGTCATAGCTCGCAGAGAAGCTCTTAGTATTCTAAGTAAGAGCTTCTAAGCTCTTGTTATATCAGGAGATGCAGGGCTTGTGAAGAACTGCCCATCTCCAAAGCAGAAGCTTTTGGTGCCTTTCACAGTGAGGTGGGAACGTTAAATACATGGAGTCCCCTTTTTCCACAGAGTCTGTCTTTGGGTTTTACTTACTCACAGATTCCATAGCCTCTCATCTTGCCCTCGTACCAGTGGCACTTATAGCAGTCATATCGGTCTTCGGATTTGCGTGGGACAAGGCATATTCCAAACCTACAAGGTGCAGATGGCAGAGGTCAGCATGGCAAAAGGTGACTCAGTTGTGCTAGATGAAGTTTAAAAATCATCCAGACTTCCAAGCTGATTTGCATGGTTGGGGTCAGCTCTACCTCTGACACTATTTCCAGGTGATAATAGACTTGCTCCAAGGAAGAACTCATCTCCTTGTGAACCGCAGTCACAGTTTCTCATTGCTTTTTCTACAGTTATTTTCAGTGTTGTTTTCTTCCTGTCTCTCCCCATTCCCCAGTTTAGGAATTGAGTTAGACTACCAAAGTAATCGCTTTGGTCCAAATGAATTGCTTTCTTAATCCCAACACAAAGTATTTGAGACAGGTTTTTTTTTTAGCTTTAAAAACCTATTCTAAAAACTTGTGGAGAAATGAGAAATCTGAAAGTCTGATTTTCAAATAGTTTTTTGAAAATAATGCTGGAATTTCATAGTATGATTTCCTTCCCCTGAAAACTCCTCATTTGAGGGTATTTCACACAAATAAATACACGCAGATTTATTGATCTGGCGTAAGATTCATCCAGATAAAGAAATGTTTGCATGTGAACTGATCATTTGTGCACGCTCTCACTATCTAGGTTACAATCTCCTCAACCTTAAACCAGGCATTAGATGAATTGGGCTGTAACAGCGAACAGAATCCCTCTACAAGAGGCTAGTGTCCCTGTATCTCTGGGAGGAACCAGTTCTTAGTTTATTTTGAAGGCAAGAAACGTCCTGTTTTTTTCAGGCTTACCCATGCTCCAAGCCCTCTTTGAAATCTCCAACATGGTTGCGTCCATCATGCCACTTCAGCGTCCCCCTGCAATTCAAAGCAAAGATCACACCAGGGAGATCCCCAGCAACGTTCACAGCTGCAACAGAAGGTATCGAGGCACAACCTAACATCAAAACATTTCCTCAGGGAACAGAGACAACGATGTTCTCCAGGCACCTCTGGGACCTTGGTTTGCACCATAAGGATTTAACACCATAATGTTTTCATGTCCTGGAATGAGCGGGAGGAATCCTCTTCCAAGTTCCCTAATCCCAAAAGCATTTTGTAGAATTGCTGGCTTATCCATTTAGGACCTTGCACGTGATCCTGTTGTAATTGCAGTGCACCATGTGATTAAACCAGCTGAAGTTCCAGCATGACACATCCCCGTTGACAACATAATAACACCACGGTACAGAACTTTATTGTGCCAGACACTATGAAAACAAGAGACAAGTACTGGCCTAAAGGGATCGTATCTTTCCATCTCTTTTGTGTGGGGGTTGTAGAAACGATTACATGAGGTAACAAATGCAAAATGAGACTGGAACAGTCAATGCAATGGTCAAATTACTGCATGGCCATGCCCAGTTGCATTTCCCTCCCTCCCGGTCTCCCACTCCACCCACACCCACTCCCTGTTTTAATTCTTGCATCATCCCAGACACAGTCAGGTCCCTACACATTCACCAACCAGAGACAACAGAAGATGGCGCAGTACCAAAACCATGATGCCTTTGTTTGACTTTCACTGAGGTTGTTGCTTTAAACACCCACATGAGACGTTTGTCATTTCTTTTTGTTTTGTTTTGTTTTGTTTTCTTTCTGGTATTTACAAGGAAGCGGTCAGATTAATTTTAAGTGGATTTAGAATACATCTCCTTTTGCTTTGCTAGTATGAATGCCAAACAAAGGAGAGCAAGTCAGAGAGAATGCCTGCTCTAGTCATGGGGATGGATTAAGCTACTTGTACCTCTTTCCCCCACACCAGGTCACCAGGAGTACTGGGACAGAACAGTGTTTTTGCTGAAGAGCTCTGATTCACACTGCCACAGCTTTCTGCTCATGTGCGTTGCCCTACCATCCTCTCCCTCAGAGGTGGATAAGCCTTGCTGCTCTGTAACCTTGCAAGTCATATAGAAGAGTAATTTCAGGAGTGAGAAGGCAAGCCTAGCAATTAATCAGTTAAAAACCCAGGTATTAAAACCACCTGAAGTTACTTAATCCTGCCACAAATTTCCTGGGATGCCTCAGTCAAGCCACTTAATCTGAAGCAACAGAGGTATTTATTAATCCTATTTCTCCAACCTTAAGAAAGGAGGAGACGAAGAGCAAGGAGAGGTGCATCCTTCTGTCTGGCATGCAGTGGTTTTCAGAGCTCTGTTAGGAGTGCAGGTGCTGGGGAAGGCGGGGATGATGTAAAGGACTGCCTCAGGCATAGCACTACTCTAAACACCTATTAAATGCTATTCTGGGGCAAGGCATAATTTCTTCCACAGAGGATTCAGGATCAAGCTTTTGATTTGGAATGTTCTCATTACTTTAAGGCGCTTTCAAACCAAATCTCTACATCTTTATTTTGCTTCAATAGCAACTGTAAACAAACCATGTAAAACTCGGGAAGTATAAAACTTCCAAATCAACCTCCTGTTTTGGTGTCTGAGGAGTTTGGTCATATTTCATGTTTCTTCACTAAAACAGAGACTATGCTCTACCTTATGTTAAAGAGGGTTTGGCTGGGACGATTTAAGCTTTGATTTACAGACCATTCCCTTTTGGCAGAGCTCACTCTCAGACTTCAGTTGGATTTAGAGAAGAGTCCTCCTGTTCATAAGAAAAGCATTTGAGCCTCTTTTATACTTAATTTTATTATTTTTTAAATTTCCTTGACAATAGTTTGGATATTAAAATAGATTTTAATAGAACAGGATAAAACTTTTCTCTCCTTCACAAGCAAAGGCTTTTTACTGGGTCATCATGATGGTAAGATTTTATGCCTCAGGCTGAGATCTTGAAAATAAACATTAGCTCAAGTCTAAGTCCTAATTACAGGTATAAGCCAATGCAGCACTTTCAATGTGATCATTTCCACATTATTAGGGGCAGCCTTTATTATTTACTGCATAAACCAGTATCGCTAGGAAGACATCTGCAGTACAACAGATCACGTGTCAGGACTCATGCTTTGACTAAGCCCTGAAATCAAGCAAATGTGTCCCAACTGCCCCCTGAATCTGCCCTCAACACCACATTTCCCTCTGGAAACAAGTGAGGCAGGAACCAGAGAGGCTGGCACACCCTGGGACATCACCAGCGCAGTCTGTGGTTCAGGCCCTCAGCACGGGATGAATCACCCCATGTGCACAGCCACTCTGTGGCACCTATACCTCCACCTGTGCATCCACTGGATCCAGGCGGTGCTACACAAAGACAGCAGGGCCATCCTTGCATGTTCTTGCTTAAGAAAGGGACAAAAAAAAGGCTCCTTACTTGCCATGCGGCTTTCCCCAGTGCCACTCGCCCTCATAGGATGTGTTCTTGAACTTGCCCTCCAGCTTGAAGACATAGGTGAAGAAGCGGCAGGACGGGGGCTCGGTGCCTTCTCCAGTCTTACCCCACAATGGGAAATCTCTCTTCCCGTTCAGTGCCTGGCGGACAGCCTGGTTCAGCTTCCACTGCCAAACAGCCTGGGGGCAGAGGAAGAGGAGTGCTGGACTAACAGTGAAGAAAACATAATAGCTCCCAAAAAGAGCTACTTCAAGAGAGGCAGCAAGAAGCTGTCTGGTTCCCATCAATTCTATGCCATTCAGCTTGCTGGGATAGCGAGTTATGGCCCATATACAGCATCAACAAGAGGTGTTATCTGGTGTCCTGCGAGTTGAATCCTGCACTAATGCACAACATTTTCATGTATTTAAGCCTGACTTTCACCACCACTAATCAGCCTTGGCACAGGACGGTGCTGATGGGACTGTATTGTCCCAAGCTCTGCAGCACACACTACTGCCCGGGGCAGACCACTTCCAGCACCCAGATATTTGTCATCTACCATGACCTGCCTAAGCCACCTCTGACTATCTAATATTATATTGGCTCCACAGAGGGGAAAACAAAAAAAAAACAAAAACCAAAACAACCAACAACTCAAAAACCCAACAAACCCCACACTGCATATTATTCTGCTTTAAATAATTTTTTTAAATGGCAAAAATCACAGACAAACAGCCTCAGCTGCATTTAAGCAGGTGGAGAACCCACTAATCTGTCTTTTGATTGGGAAGCTAAAATCCTGACCCTTCATGGGATTTCAACTTCCATTTATTAGCCAATGTTTTGCTTCCGCTAGATCCCTATGCTATTCCCCTATTTCAAAACTTGGTGCACAGTATTTCAGGTGGAAGAGAAAGAGTCTGCCCACTGCTGACCTTCATCTGTGGGTCTTTCGCAGAGAGAAAGAACGTTTCTTCTGGGGTTATAATGCGGAGTCTGTATCTGTGAAGCAAAAGACGTTACAAAGAACATAAAAAACGCATTTCTCAGCCAAACAGCAGTTCCTGCTCTTCTCATTCCTCTTAAGAAGCTAATGGTGCTTTTGAAGTCAGTTTTTTTCCTTCTCAAGAGGTACTCAACTAGTCAACTCATCTGTGTCGTCTAGGCCTGGAGCCTAAACTGTTTTATTATTGATTGATTACAATATTTCAGTAAAGGCAAGCAATGCAAGCCCAAGCTGCTGTGATCCCATCTGAGAGGTGCTGCAATTATCGGTAGCCCAGAACCAATCCCACTGTGTAGAAAGGAGATGGGACAAAGTTTTGTATCATTTTCTCAGTTTCACAATCAAGTTGGACATTTTTTGTTGCTGTTTTTTTACCTCCAAGTAGAAATTTTTCACTTACAGTCCTGGAGCCAATTTCTCCCTGCAGTTATCATCTACCCACACAAGCTTCAGATCAAAACTCTGAAAGCTGTTGCCCTGGAACAAAAGGGAGATGATGTTTCTGTTACTGATGTAAACAACACACTTTGCCTCCTCTCTGTCAATCCACTGAACAGCAAAGCAAGACTGGCAGCACTGTAAATTCCCTCTTTTGTGGTCCACGCATCTATCCTGCACTACGATGACAGATCTCAGAGACTGAAGAAACATAGGAGAAGGAAGAAAGTTCTTAGTTTAACGCTGAAGTGGTGTTCCATAATGCCATGGCTGCAACTAACAGTAACAGACCTTCTTAGATGGCACTTATCTCTACAAGTTTCTTCCCTATTATTTGACAAGGCTCCCAAATCATCCCTGGCACCCAGTATGCACTAGTTTTGCTTATGATCTATCTAGAATTTGGACTCCAGATGGCACAGCCAGTAACGGCCCACAAGTACAACATCTAAGAGGTCACAATTTTGATCAATAGCATACCAAACAGAAGAAAATAAAATGGTTGAAATATTAGGAAAAGACTACATTTAATATTACATTTCCCTTCCCTATATAAAGTCCAGATGCCAACACTACAGAGTTGCTGTCTGCAAGGATGTCATTGGCCAAGATTAGCTAATAGCACTATGGAGTTCACCACAAGTTAATCACTGATGTATCTACCAGATTTGGGGGAAAAGGGAAGGGAGACTTCAAATTCCCAGCACCAGAGCCCTCACCAGCAACCTCCTGCTAGCAGCCCAAGCTAACCAGTTCAATCCCAGTCAAGTTACATCTCCCCAACCTTCAATAACAGTCATAGCAGCAGATGAAACCTAGTGGGTGGGAACTGTTGACTGAACAGAGACGTCCACAATGTAGAAATCTTGGTATGAGCTAGTAACCCTGTGTTCTCATCCTAGTCAATGGAGCGGAGGACATGATTCAACTCATCCTCATTTTGGCATATAAAATAGGTCAGATAAACCACACCCAGACAGCGCATGTTTCTCTCCCTTGACTATAAAGGGAGCCTGGGGTCACTTGCTCACACCGAGATCACTTACAGTGCTAAGAAATCTACAATGCAAAGTTGGATGAGATAATCGTCACCCTATTTCCTCAGGCTTAGACCCTGCAAGCTGAGTGGGACTGCTCAGCGTTATCACAAAGACTCATGTTTGGAGAAACCATAAAACATATCAGCTCACAAGGCAGTCCTGTGTTTGGACACCTGAGGGGCTGGCACATGACTAAAGAGCAAGCAGAGAGAGGTGCATATGAAGAGAGCCATCCTAGATTACAGGTGCTATCAACCAGAGCAAGCCAAACTGGACTTAATTAACACGCTGCATAAGAGCTTTGAACATGTATTATTCATTTAGATAACCATGGTTGTAAACACTCCCTCTCTGCCCCACACCCAGGCCCCAAATCCCTAAAAAAGCCCCAAGAACACATGTAACTTCTGCTCCCGTGCTACTAGCAGGGTCAACCATGCAACATCATATTCAGTCCTATGCATGAGTGCCTACAGTGTAATATCTTTGACCCACCAGGCAAGCCCCTGCCCACCAGGCAAGGACAGAAATCAATAGATATATATGCAGGCATGGGTTTGGGTTACTAGAAAGGTGCCTGTGGTGGTTGGATAGTACACATTTACTAGGGAAAAATGTTATGTGGATACTCCTCTATTCTTTCATCATTAGCCTTTCTTTTCCATTTCATCCCACAGGTGCATGGATCTGAGAGAAGGTTTTGCCAATAGCCAAGCTCTGTTGCATTTTCAGCATCAAAGGAACCTGAATTTTACTGTCATGTATCTGCCCTGCCCTTCCAGTCCTTCTAAAAGACTGCAAACTCACCTGAATTAGCACAAGGACATCATCAAAGAGCAAGATCCGATCTGATCGATTCGTGCTGGCAGAGATGGGAAGATTTTTGCTATCTTCCAGCAGCCTTCTTTCAGGTACACAGAGCATGTCCTGCAGAGGGAACCACGGAGGTCAAGATGGAGGACCAAAAGCGCCAGGAAACATTAGGATTTGGGAGAGTATATTCAACTTAAGCCAACAGTTCCTTCAGAGGCCACCTGACTCACGGCCCAGACTGACAGTGACAGCAGAACTGGACACAGCACTCAACTTCTAAAGTACCCAGTAGCCATAAGGTTTCTCTAAGACATCCTCATTTCCCTGCTCTGTTGGCTTCAAACCAAGCCTCAAATTCCTGATCCATATTAAATTTCCTCCATGGGTCAGCAGAAGTGTAAGATCTCCAAAAGATCTTCCCATCTATGACTTACTGTGAATTTGTAGCTCAAGGATTTCCATAAGGACTTGGTAAAACAAGCTTCATCCAGGACTTGGCTGATGAAGGACTCCAGCTTCACATATTCCTTGATGGAACTGGTGACCATGTCCTTTTCAGAGCCCTGATAAAAGAAGACAGCACTTGAGCAACAGTTCAGGCATGGTTGTGCAGGACATCTACTCTCTGTGCTACAGCTGCAGAAAAATTACAGCAGCTCTGAATCCAAAGGGTTAATGAGAGGTAACCCTCCAAAGCCCTTTAAAAGGAAAGCCTCCCAAATCTAACATTATCTCTGCCGCCACCAGAAGCGTGCAACCTCAGGCCAGTTACTTGACCTTTTGCAGCACCTCTATATGATGAATAGCTCGTACTACACTGGAGTGGCTACTGTTTGTTGCTTGGAGACCCTCAGGTGGTCTGCTCTCCACTGGCGCTGGTTACTACCACCCCAGCCATCCACTCATTTTCCTTCCAACCTGCATTGGATTCAGCTCTGCAAAAGGTGTTAGCATAAGCCAGTCAAGTAACATCACATAAAGCTTCCTACCTCTTTGAGAACCTCATTCAGCTTGGTAAGGAGCAGTATATAATGCTCGATATGATCTCTGAGAGGTTTCTGAAGAACAGTGTATAAGGCCAGTGACATGGAGGTCTCAGAGGTGAAGTCTGTGAGGAATAGTTTCAGCACTGTCATATGGAACTTCCAGGCTTCACTGCAAGACGGTGAATTAAGACAAAAGGTTCATTAATTACTTTCTTCTACAAATTGCCACTCCTCTGCCTTCCAAACATTATACGCTACCTTGCTCCCAGACGGTATAGAAGGACTTGAAAGAGTAGGAGATGACACAGCGCAAACATATTTGCACACCAATCACACAGAAATAAGGCAGCGAGGCCAACAAGAGCTCCATCCATCCTGCCTCTGGCCCAGCGGTCTTTGCAAATAGGAACCACACCCACAGACATACAGAATACAGCATGATTTTCACGATGGTTTGCACATCAAGAGGATGACTCAGATAAAGTGGCTGCAGATCCGCTCGGGTCTAGTGCTCATGCTTTCATTTGTCCTTTCTCAGGTCCCACCCTTTACCTGAACCCACAAATTTACAGACTTCCCCTCCTACAAAAGAAGTTGTGCATGGCTGGGAAGAGAGGGGGAGAGATCTGTAGAGGATAGATACCAACAGCTGCTGCCATGGTCTTAGAAGATGGCAGGAGCAGCCAGCATGGCCAATGAAGAGGAGAAACAAAGATTCAGAGGACCATGAAACAGAGATCCCTGCAAGGTGTAGCGCTCACTACTGTTCGCTCCAGTTTAGTATCTTAACCCCTACATTGTCACTCTCTTCCTATTAAGCATTCTTCAGCCCACTGACCTTTTGCTCTCTGTGGCATGTTCAAAGCCGCGGACTACAACGTAGTTTGCGAAAGTGACGAAATATCTGTCGGCAAGAAAACAGACGACCACAAGTATGAGTTGAGTTAGAGATGCACATTAGCTACGAGGTTTAAGTGATAGAGGGAAGAAGCCGATTTGAAAATGCCATGTGAGGTCCACCTTTCCAAGAGAGGCAGAGAGATGTGGCTACTGTACGTCCCACCTTGGCTCACTCCCCTTCTGTGCCCTTTGCCAGCTCCTTGGCTTAACCGCCTTGTTGACGTTCTCACTAGTATTGTTACAGGAAGTTTAAATCATCCTGTCATTTAGCAGAAGCAGAAGCAAATTTGCACAACTGTTCTGGAAAGCAAACCTACAAAGGCTGAGCTTAAGAGATTAGCTTTGGATGTATCTGAATTTCTGCTGGTTGAAGTAAAAGCCTCAGGTCTGTGGTAAATTCAAGTCAAGGTGTCCCACGCCAATGTAGCTCATCTCACACTAGAGGGAGATCGAGCCATATTTTGTCAGCAAACACCATGCTTTCTCCCAGTACTGTTTTCAGATAAGTCATGCATCGTGTCCAGGCTAATTACCATTTTTTTACATCTTTCAGTGACATGTATTTACTGCTGATTTTCAGGCCCCTGAACAGCGGCTTTGCTTCCTCCTGTATCACTCCAATAAGCATGAGCTGCTGTAGGATCAGTACTGCACAGAGTGAGTCAGCAGAGGTGGGTAGGAAACAGCTCATTTTTGCATGTAAAAACAGGTTTTAATTTCAAAATGAGGGGAAATTAGATCTTGAGGTAAACTTCTTTGTGTCACCGGAAACCTCAGCACCAGTTTCCATCTTTTACGTGCCTTTATAAGGCAAACCAGTTCTAATTCACTGAATCAGTTCCCAAATGAACAAGAGACGTTGCTCCAAAACCCCATTCACATAAAGGCAAAGCTTGTTGTGCCTCTCTTTGCTAAAATGATGCTGTCCAAGCAAAAACAAAAGAAAAAGTAGTCCTTCCTTCCTCCTCCTTCCACATACATGAAACCCAACAGAACCAAGACTAGGTGAACAACAACGTCAAGGAGCCAGTGTGCCCATATCCTGTTTCTGTGCGGGTGCCAAACTGCACAGACGGTACCAGCCCACCTGGCAAAGGCCTGGCCACGTTTATGGCCAATGTGATAAATGAAGGATTGAACGCTGTCTGATCTTTACGCCATCTCAGATGTCCATAAACCTTTTTTTTTTTTTTTTTTTTTTTTCTGACAGGACATCAAAACACAGGTTACACACGGTACAGCGCTTTTGGTAAACATTTATTTTTTTGCATTGCAGACAGATGGGGAGCAGACGTAATTAATTATAGAAATGGCAGCATGGCAGTATGTTTTTCAGATCATGCTACATCCATCACTTGCTATCATATCCCTTGCCAAAAGCACAAAAACGTGGCACAAACAGGTAATATGAATGGTCTCTAGTGACATCTTCTTTCCTTGTCCCTATGAGTCCTTTAAACCTGCTTGTGCATGACTTTCTGTTCCTGATGACAGGTCAAGATTTGTTCTCATAAATTTCCCAGGCACAAATTATACCCCCTGTCCTCTTCCCACTTTTATGATGCATTAAAAAAAACCCTATACTTACATGAAAAAAATTCTGCCTCTTACAAGTATACTCACAGCTACAAAAAAGGCTACTTGTACTGTCTGCACAGATGCTATATTCTGTGGCACTTGTCGTGAGCACTGAATTCAATCACTTCCTTGACCTAATGACTAAATACTAGTGGACAGGACTGAACAAATTAAATGCACTAATTAATTGCACCAACCTACCAGTTAGATGATAAATTTGGTCCCCTATGCTACTCCAAAATGCTTCTGTACTTACTGGATGTAGAGGCTTAGAAACAGGTCTCCTTTCCAGACAGTGTAAATGTCCTGGATGCAGAATGACTCAGAGCTGCTGTGTTTTTGTTTCAGAATGCAGTAATTTTCTTCTGTGAGGTTCCAGAGAGCTTGAAACCGATCATTCAGGAGCAGGAAGAGCTTAAAGTTCTCCTTTCCCTTCTGGTCTTTAGGCTCTTTTAGGAAAAGATGGGGGAAAAAGGTTATCAGAAAGCCCCGACTCCAAGAAATCTTGTGGAAAACATTGCCTATGTCTAATACTCAGCCCAATTTTTCAGTGTAAATTACATATATTCTTAGAGGAAAACAATGTCAGGGAGGAAGGAGATGATGATTAAGGTTGTGCCCCTGTGAGTGATTGCATGAGCTATCACGCTAGGTCTTTGTCCTTCCCATTCTTGTGGGGCATGTGGTCAGGGCAGCCTGTGAGGCTCAGCCCCAGCTCAGACATGAGCACTGGAGAATTTTCTGCCCCTGGCCCAAAGGGCTGTTCCCAGTCTCCTTGGAGGCTAGACCAAAAAAAGGCGGTGACACGAGAGAGAACCACCCTACGGGCCTAATCCAGTCATACCACTTTTGGCTAGACAGGCTTGTGAATATTTATATGGATTTGTTATTTCAGTGGAGCTGCTCTGATTTACTGCCAGCTCAGAACCTGTACCCACAAGTTTTATCTTCAAAGATGGGCATGACCATGGACTGAGAGCAGGGAGGCAGAATGGGCATGGTTTAGGGGTCGCATATGTGCGAGATATATTTTGGATTTCCACACGCCATGCTGTAAACAAGCCTTGGAGCAGGTGTACAGGCTTATACAGGTTAGAATCTGGATTCACCTCTAAAAACAACAGGAACCACAGTCTGAGACTTGAATGAAAGGCCATAGGCATCCTTAAGGGCTCACTATCTTAAATGAAACATCTCTACTTACCTCTTGCTCCAGCAAACCAGGCTCCAGCAAGTCCTCAGCCTCAGAGTTTCAGTTATAAATCCTTTCATAGGTGTGCCAGTGACTCAAGGCTAAAACTACAGACAAGAAAGTAGTCTTCTCTGACCTACCTGCCTGGAGCAGAGGCTTGAGGATGAGGGTATTTATCTGTGCCAGGCATGCTGAAAAGGTTTCCTCCACTTGGAGCAGAGATGCAGTTGCTTCAGCCGTGCACATGTCCTGGACACAACAGAGAAGGCACACATAAACTCCCCTGCAAAAGTATTCATCTACCAAGGCTTCAGCGCTCATTGCAAACCGTCAGCCTTTCCTGCTCGTGACAGCACACAGAGGTGTAATCGCTGTCGCCAAAAAGCATTTGAAAATGTTAGAAGAGAAAACAGAAACCCAATAGCTCAACATGAGCTGATGTCACAGAAGACCACCGAGGCTACAGCCCTTTTTCCTGATGCCCCAAATTGAAGATCTTCTCGGGTGGACCACAAGACCTCTTCTGCACGACTGGAAAGGCCCTAAACTTTTGGATATGTGTTCATCCTGCTTAATGCCAGATTTGTTCTCCCCAAAGAAAATCCTTAAAGTACAAGGCAACAAAGGATGAAGCAGAGCATGTTTTCCCACATCTCTCACCAGTTTTCTGCCAGAGTGCCTCAGTCTGCATCTTTTGGCATTAAAAGCTATCGTATGGAGCTGCTGAGCCGTGCCAGCCATGCCCAAATATCCAAAACCCTCCAGAGGAACAGAGGTCTGGTGTTACTCCCTTCCAAGTAGAACACTACACTGCTGGCTATATGTCACAACTGCTGCGTCAACAAGGAAAGCTTGCCTAATGTGGAAGTGGGCAGCACTTAAAAAAAAAAAAAAAGGGAAAAAACAGGGGGCAGCAAACCCACGTGAGCAAATTCCAGTAGCTTCCTCCTTCCAAGCCTTAACTCCTGAAAGAAATGGATCAGAGGAAATGAAGCCAGCTAATAGCATGTCATAAGAGACTGCTCTGGAAAAAGGCCAGGTGGTGAAGATACTATGGGCAGAATCAGCTGATATTACTAATAGTGATAAAAATACAAACATCTGAGATTCTTTGTGAAGCAAACCAGCAAACTCAAGGGAATGAATATGGTCTGTCCACATTTATCCTTAGCCTGGTCGTAGTGCACGCTCACAGGCTATGTTCAGAATAGAAGCAAGCAAGAATATGGCATCATGTTGCAAAGAATTAAACTGCTGAATCAGTGGCAGAGACCTCAGCGCAGTTTTGATGTGTGCCAACTAGTGCCTCTCCCAGACAATTCTCAGGCATGGTCCAGGGACCATTTGAAACAGGTAGTTTACACATGGTCATGCTGGTTTTGGAGGTAAGGAGAAATTAGTTATTTATAGGTTATGCAATAACCACTTGGCTGTGGGGATAGACGTGGTTTATTTACTAAGGGAGATGTAACTAGAGTCTTTTCCACTCTCTCCAGGAAGAGCTGAACGGAGGTTATCTGCTGGTGACATCATCTAAGACATCCTGAACCTCTACCCAGATTGCTGCAAACAACAGGTGAGGTTCATTCTCCTGTGTTGAGATGTTGGGAAGTCAGACATAGAGGCCTAACCCTACTTTATACTTCATGGGAACACATACCTCGAGCATCTCAGCATGGACTGTAGAAAGGTCACCCGGGTGGGATGACTAAATTAGGTGGGAACGCCTCATTTTTAAGCTTCACATATGGGTGGATTCCTTCCTAAATAAGAGCTTGAGCTCTCTAAAGTCACCAAACTCGGCTTAAGAACTCCCTTTTCAGGTCATCCTGGAGCTTGGGCTGAAATGGTGTCACAGAACAAGGCACACTTTGCAGCTTGAACCGTTAGCTGGTCTGGTTTTAAGTGGTTGTTCAGCTCTAGACACAACCAACGGCACAGATGAATGACAATGTTTTCTCCTTAGTAACCACCGCTCTTAAATTTCATTTGTCTGAAAAATGGGAAGCATTAAAAAAATTCCTTAATCTCATTAGTTTGCATGTTTTCATACATCAAGGTCTGCACAACCATAAGGCTATTTTTTTGCAGGAACACTGGTGATTCGTCCCAGAGGAAAGCTCCAGGCATGCAAACAGGTCAAAAAGCTGGAATCCAAACTCCTCCTGGACACTCCCAGTGAAGGCAACTGAGCCAGGAAAAAAAAAAAAAAAAAAAAAAAAAAAAAAAAAAAAAAA